CACGGCGTCATGTGCATATCTTATGCTAGTAGAATTAAAATTCATATATCTTGATTGTATTGACTGAGAAATTACAGAAACAATTGCCTACTTCCTTTTGAAGAGAAAATATTTGAAATTAAAAACATTTTTTAACTTGTCTTCTTATATTTTTTATATCATTTCTCCAACCGAAGAGTAATAAAATGCAGCAAAAAGGAGTTTCATGCAGGTATATTTTTACTCCAGAAAGAGACAAGAGAAAAATAACACCACAAAAAGGCTTCCTCCAGTGTGAGGTGGGGAAACAAAAAAAAAAAAAAAAAAAAAAAGTGTCACCACTGAAACAGAATTTAGTTTTAACTTTAAACTAAAGCACATGACTTACTACTTTCAGAATGAAAAAGAAATTAACTCCATTTTTCAAGATTTCAGTAAAAATAATATTCTTTTAAAATGGGTCAGCAGATAAGAAACTTTTAACTATCAAATAAATTTTAAATTTGCTACTTGTTGATATCAACACCAAGTATTTCTTGATTTCCTCACCAAAATAATTACAAAAGAAATTCTATATGTTCATATCACACACATACACACAAAATGGCCTTCATATGAAAAAAGATGGATTACTTTTTTTAATTTTCCTTTTTATTTTTTTGATAATTCCAGATATCTGGATCAGGAGTTTTTATAATCCTTTCTATCAAGTCTTAGCAAAAAAAAAATGAATAGGTACTTAGCATAAAATAAAAAACAAAAAAAAAAAATTTTTTTTTAAAAAAATCAATATAGCCGATCAAAAATTGATAAATTCAACTTTTTCCCTCCAATTGTATTAAAACTCAGGATGTAGGTTACTTACATGACAAGCTCAATGATAGCTCATTTTTATCCCTATGCCACTGCATTTAGCAAAAAACTGCGAAAAACGAAAAATTTTAAACTAAAAACTCCCTCAATTTTCAAGCAATCTAATACAAACTTCACTCAATTGTAACCAACAATTTGATTGTTTAACAGTAATTTAACTTGATAATTGAGTCCACTCATATAGTGAAAACATGCGTAAATAGAGAAAAATGGTTAATGGTTTCTTTCTTATTTTTCATTGATCTTTCAACCAATTTTCATCAAACTTAACAATTGCTTTATAAATGTATCCTCTTTTACATCCCTGGTAGCACCCTGACAAATTGAATTTCAAAAACTCCAAAATAATTGTGGTCTGAAGTGGGTCTTCATGTTGCCTTCATGTCCTCGACTAACTTCGATTGAATAAATGCAGACTCCTTCTGTTATATCAGTAACTGCATTAATTCAAAATGTTTTTTTTAATGAAAGTACTTAAAGAAGATAGACTGTTACATCTAAACATGATGCCGTTTTTGCTCCATTCTAATTGAATGCTTTTTTTGATTGACCAGCTGGGTATGGCTAGTAGTAGAACATATTTGTAGCTGTATATCACAAATATCCAGAGTATAATTATCCCAAATAACAAATTTTGTAATCATACTTATGAGCAAGAAAGACAAGACAAGATCACTACATTTACTATACAAAGTAAGATTACATTTGCTTGAAAATTTTACTATTTTTTCATCTCCAATCAAATCCCAATTAATGTCTCCCCACCTGAAATATGAAGGAAATTCATTCCTCACCCACAATTTAAAACACATTTTATTAAAAGTTAATATTGTCTCTTTCGCTCATTTCATTGAAGCCACATATAACACATCTAATATTATCTTAAATTTTTTATTGAAAGGAAGCATTATCAGTATTAATTTTTTTACTAATATTTCTTTCATCTCCATTTTAATTGCTTTATTTATACTTGTATAGGGTGCAATGGATAAATTATCATATAAATTATGCAAAAATGAAAATAACAGTGACATTTCACTTTAACATATATTTCCAAAATTACACAAAGATATCATGAAATACTAAAGAGTAAATTTATTCAATAAAATTGCCATTGGTTTCAACCACAGCTTCCTGCAACTCTTCTGGACGGTCTCCTTGTTTAAGTTGGTGAATGCTGTTCCAAGGAGTTTTGTTGCTCTCGCGTTCATATGTACCCCACACATAATAAACAAAGGACTGCAGTCTGAGGAGTTAAGTGGTGATGTGGTCGAATAAATTGTCTGACAGCCATGATGGGTACTATTTATTAATTACATTATTCGTACTATTGTCCTCATCTTTGTTGCCATATTTATCACAACGTTTCGGTCATTGTACATTCTAGCCTTCTTCAGGTGGTTGGACTGTCGAACTGAACCCTTTATTTCACTCGCTGGGGTAGACTGTTCTAGTTCCACATACCAAGTCTAATGGATGTTAGTTATCAGTTATCTCCTGTTAATTCCCCTCTCCAAGTTCTCCACTGCCATAACCAGGTATTGAACTCACAACTCTTTGGGTCCTGTCACTGGATCTAACCACTGTGCCATGTGTCCTTAAGGTATGAATTTCTGGGACTTATAAACTTAATGTCTTCAGCAACCATTTTTAACAGTGTTCATATTGCAATTTTTACTGTTATCATTGCACGTTTTTTACCAGAGCTCATATTGCAATTTTCCTTGTTATTATTGCTTTTCTCTGGCACTCCTTATTACTGGCTTCCATATTGTATTCATTCCTATGCTTGGTCGGCTCAGGAGATTTTTGTGGACTAGCATATGTGCTGATTTCTTGGGTTTAAACTCACAACATCCTAGCCCACCATCTGGTTGGATAGGATGGAGGCATCTTTGGGTGAGCTTGGACGTGGTGAGTTTGTTCACCAAGGTACCCACGGAGGAGGCACTCTCAGTAGTCAGAAACAGATTGGCCTCTGACTCATCCCTAGGAGAATGAACCAGTATTCCAATAGATAATCTGATGGAGATGTTGACTTTCTGTACACAAACAACACACTTTGGAATGGGATCATAAATATATCGACACGATGAGGCCTTAGCAATGGGCTCACCATTATCACCAGCAATGGCGAATATATATATGGAATATTTTGAGGAAATGGCATTAGAATCTATATCTCTAAGGCCAACTCTATGGTTAAGCTATGTAGATAACACCTTCATACTCTGGCCACACTAGGAAGATGTTCGGGTTCTGCTGGACCATGTGAACTCAATAAGACCTTTGATACAGTTCATGATGGAGAAAGAGAGTAACAACACACCCCCATTCCTGGATGTTCTAATATCTTGAACAGAGCATGGGTTCAAGACATCCGTATACTGCAAACCAACATTCAGCAGACAGTACCTCAAATTCAACTCCCACCATCCCTACAGTCCGCTGCTTACAACACCAAACAAAAGTCATAAGTGGCAACCCAGAGACATTAGATAAAGAATTGGTCAGTATAAGCAGTACCCTACAAAGTAACAACTACCCTGGGTACATGGCAGCAGCCCTAATAAACTGGGATAGGCAGATACAAAAGGACAACAACTCAGAAAACAGTCTGCCTGCCTTATGTGAAGGGGTTATCGAAGAAAATACAAAGGATCTGCAGTCCATATAACATCAGGACAACCTTCAAAAGCTGGAAGACCCTTCACAGATACCTCTCCTGAGTAAGACCCCCACCATAGAGGAGAACATGACTAAAGACTGTGTGTACACCATCCTGTGCAGCTGCAGAAAGAACTATAAAGGGAAGACAGGCCACCCCCTTAAGGTAAGGCTACAAGAACACCAAAAAGCTGTAACATCAGGGGAAGTGGAAAAATCAGTAATGACTGACCACACATGGAGAGAAAAGGGAGATCACTGCCCTTTGTGGGATCAGGCTGAAATCATAGACAAAGAACATCATTGGAAAATTCGTAAAGTTAAGGAATCAGCACATAGTGAGCCAGCCAAGCATAGAAATGAATACAATATAGGAACCAGTAATAAGAGTGCCAGAGAAAAGCAATAATAACAATGAAAATTGCAATGTGAGCACTGGTAAAAACGATTGAAGACATTAAGTTTATAACTCCCAAAAATTCATACACAAATGTCCTTAAGGACACATGGCACAGTGGATAAAGGCATTGGTTAGATCCAGTGAGAAGACCCAAAGAGTTAAGGTGAATTAACAGGAGATAACTGATATCTGACATCCATTAGACATGGTATGTGGAACTAGAACAGTCTACCCCAGCAAGCGAAATAAAGGATTCAGTTCGACATTTCAACCAAGGAGCGTACAACAGCTGATATTATGATAAATATGACAACAAAGACGAGGACAATAGTCCAAATAACGTAAATAGCATACATAGTACCTCATCTCAGAAATATAGAGATAGCCATGATGATAGCTTGTTGCCACCCTCTTGACCCAGGCCACTGCCACCCATTTAAGAGGCCCAACAAGTTCAGGAGCAAATTTTCTGAGTGGATAAAGGTGTTGGTTAGATCCAGTGACAGGACCCAAAGTCAATACCTAGTTAAGGCAGTGGAGAACTTGGAGAGGTAAATTAACAGATTGAGACTCAAAGATTCAAATCCAAACACTCTGAAATGCCAAGCAGTACAGCATGCCGTTTCCAAATGTCTGGGAAGTTTTAGGAGTGAATTGCGCCATCAAGCCCTTTTTCTTACAGCCAATGCCCAACTGACCCTACTATACTGTGCAGTTGACAAAATCAAAAATATAAAATGGTGTATATAATGTAATATTATCTTGTCTAGTATTTCTTTTATCTTCATTTTAATTGCTTTCATCTAATTTTATTTTTATCAGGTATAATTTTATAATCATACTTGTATACATGAATAAATAGTGCAACCATCTTTGCTTGAATGTGTTGCATGAATTTATGGTATCTGCAGGTAAGCTTTTATGGAATTCCTCAAAGACAGGAATTGGTTGGCATTTCATATCACATGGCTCAGGCATTTCAAATATTTCAAACAATAAATATTTTACCCCCACCGACTGACCAAGTATTTGCCAACAACCCAGAGATAAATCCATTAATCATTTTTTCCCCACCACTTACCTCGATCCATAAAATCATAATAGTCACCACCACCACCATTGGGATCATAATCTCGTTCATGCCGGGTAATCTTAGGCTCAGCAAATCTGGGTTTAAAAACTGAAATGTACCAAAACAATTTATTATTATAAAAATTACTTTGACTAATACCTACATTTTTCATGGATAGTAATTAAATTTCAGCTAGTGGCCTTATATCATCAGGAACTAATTATTTGTACTATTATCCTCATCTTTGATATCTTTATCAGAATGTTTTGGCATCAAACTGCAAAGATGACAATACTAGTGTGAATGATTCATGAAATAATGACAGTCTTTTAGTAAATGAAAAGAAATTTTTAAATGTTCCATCAGCAGAAGTGGATCAGTTGCTGATGGAGTATTCACAAAAATTCATTCTCAACAATTTCCTCTCTAATAGAAAAAAAAACAAAAACACTTTGTGGCATACATAGACTCCAACCTATTTTAAAAACAAGATTTTAAGGAAATTTAATAAATGACACAAATTTTATCATCTCTCTTCTAACTGCTCACATCTTACACTTTTCTAACAATATCACCCAAATCAAGGATAGTGATTGGTTCAAAGTATGCGTAAAAAAAGTTATCTTCACAACAAGGCCAAAACATGGAAGAGAAAGCAAATGAGATCAGTCATTGGTGCAATTTGTAATTGGCTTGAAAGATCACAGGACCATCAAAGTTAAATGCTTTGTTATTCAAGAAAACTCAAAAAATAAAATCGAAGCTGAATGCATGACACAAAAAAGATTTTATGATCAGTAATTCAACAATTTTAATATAGAAATAACAAAAATATACAAGAAAGGCATAAATCTCATCAAATTGAGAGTTTTTTTAAATCAAAGTTAAAAAAGCACATAAAGCATGTACAGATTATCATTTTAAAACTTTGTGATATTTTCAAATGAAATCTTCATTTCAATACAAGTATCTAATACTTCTTTTTCTAAACTTTATCATGACAATTGTCATCTGAATGACTAATAATGTGATAACAGGATGAAATCCTCTGTATGATTTAGCATTATCTAAACATTCTGTTTCATTGTTCAATAAAGTTAATATCTAAAATCAGCATGTCTAGCAAAGACTGAACTTAGCTGATTAATGACAGATCTGCAAGATGAACTCCTGAATTATCACACTAGAGCTGGTACTATGAATTTTCATACTTAAAATAGATTTAGTTTGATAACTTTCTATTTCAATGCTTTAAAATATCCGAAGTAAAAAAATGGATATCTTTAAAGCTTCTTTTCTTTTTTCATTTGTGAACATTATAGTTTTTTTTTCAAAAAATTACCTATTTTGTAACATGTGATGTCATAAGTAAGATTATTTAAATACATTGAAATTGTCATTCACTCTACAGAAGACAAAGCGATATGGCAAATTCTGGCAGTCAATTAAACAATTGTATATTAGTGCTAATCCCATTTGAATCCAATATCAAGTAGCCCAAAACTTTGAGACAGGAACACACTGAATGGTATAATTCTCCCCCCACTTGTAGAAATAGAACATCAGTGGGAAGCCCATGTATATGATATAATAGGTAAAGAGGTAATGTAGCTGTGACAGCCATGGGATTTGGGCAAGATGTAACACTTTCTGGAATGATTGTTGGAGCCAGGAAGAGAGAACTATCTCAGAAGTGACAAGTGCAGTAAGTTTGTCTTTGCCAATATTAACTAAGAATGTGAATTCTGGAATAGATATCAAGACTATGTCAAAAGTCAGAAGAACAAGACAGCCAGTAACTAACAAGAATAGTAACCAACCAATAAAGTGGAACATTGTATCAAATTGCATCTCAATTCAATGCCAGTGCTGCTCAACCCATCAGTCAACACTTCCCAGCATACACCACATACCATGCAATAGAAGAAGATAGGTTTGCTTATTGTCCGATTCACACTGCTTACCTGTCTTTTGAACAGAAGTAGAGATTTATACCATCTTTCCTATTTATGACTGGGTTTCCGGTCACTTCTAAAGTCTTATCTTCTTTCAACCCCACTAACTCTGGTATGCCTGGGGTGAAGCAATTAAAAAAAAAATTAAAGTTTTTATAGTTGCTGAGGAGAAAAAAAAAAAAAAAAAAAAAAAAAAAGGTGTCATTATTAATCCCACAGCATTGGTTACTGTGACTCACCTGAAGCTACAGATCAAGCCCATTAGCAGAGCTTTTTCTGGTAATGGGTTCATTATAGTATGGGATATTTTCCATGTGAGTTTATAAAGACCATTAGAGAATTTGGAGAGAGAATGAAAGGCATAATTTATACAGATCTCAGAGCTAAATTATATCTCTTCAGACTATCCAGGTTTCCTATTTGATAATGGTTTATTCCTGCCAGATAGTAGAACTTGTACCCAACCTGCACAAGTGAAATCAAATTGGCTCCATTGGCCCTCACTCAGGTTGAGCATGTAGAAGACATATTGTGAGTTATTGTAAATTTCAAACAGTTATGGATAACTCTGGAACATGCAATGAGTCCAGCACTCCATCCCCATAGCTACTATTATTTAGGTAAAAAGGAGGTGCTACAGGTTATTAGGTAACTGTTTTTTTTTCAGCTTTATATACTACTGCTCCACTGAGTTTTGTTTTCTACATTAACAAACTAAATATCCCTTTAACTAGAGAAAGGCATTTAAAAATCTGCAGAGGAGTGGTGATAAGTTCTAAACATGATCAAGAAAGGTTTCCAAAAAATTTCTGATTGGTCAGATTTGGGGGAGTAAGTCAGACCAAAAACTGTTCAGTACATTCTTGTATAAAATTGTAGAAAAAAAAAAAAAAAAAATCATAAAAAAAGAATATTTTAAATTTTGTTTGAAATTAATTCTGCACAACTGGAATCAAACTGATTCTAGAAACACTTGGGTGAATTCCAGCTACTCCATTGGGTGACACGCAACAGGTTTTAAAAAAATGTTGAGCATGTAGAAGGCATATTGTTGGCCTTAATAACTCCTATACAACCACCAAATAGTTATAGATAGCTTTTGAACATAAAATGAGTCCAGCACCTCAAATTCCATGCCACAGACAGTATTATTTTAGCAAAAAGGAGGAGTTACACAGTACTAAGTAACTGTGTATTTATCATAAAAAAAAGGTTTAAAATCTGTTTGAAGTTAATGAGTCCAGGAAATTAACAAAATGTGAAACAATGTGAAAGTAATTGGTTAGGATTTAGCTCAACTATCTGCAATCTAAATTGGTTGAGACCAAACAACACAACAAAGAAAAAATAATCCCCCTACCTAAAGTTTGTTTGAACTTACCTGCATCACAGGATTCATATGCAAGAGCTGCATGATATGGCCGATGATATTTGACATAACCAAAACCTGATTTACGATCCTTCAGAATTGTCACATCCTCGATGTCACCAAATTTCTTGAAATAAATAGAGCAAATGTAAGAAAAAAAAATTTTTTTTAGAATAAGATCTGGAAAGGAGATTTTATGGTAATCTATTTAGTCCTACATCCTGTTATTGAATTTAACATACCTAAGCAGATATCAGTAAAATTGTAATATCATTAGCAAGAAGAAAAAAAGCATCCATAAAATATAGCTGTAAAGGAACAAAAGAATAAATTAAAATAAAGGAACAATTTTCCCTAAATGAGAGGTAAAATTTTGTACTCAAGAAAATTTGTTCTGAATTCATGCAATTTAAAAGAAAGAACCAAAGAATACATTGGCTGCAGAAGATGATAGGAAAAAATATGAAGAGTTTAAGTTTAAAATTTGACAACAATGTCACAAAACAATTTTGGATAGGAAATAAAATACTTTTCAATTTAGATTCAATTCAAAAGAAATAATCAATCTCCTCCCAGTAAATTATCAATTTAATCATATTGTGTAGGCAAAAAGCCAACTATAAAAATCATTTTTTTGTTTATTAGTTTTATAGTCAAATTTTTACAACTTGTTAAATTCTGTGAGATTGTTAGAATCTTAGACAACATTACAACACAGACAAATGAATGTATTAGTAGGTATCTCAAATTGGCTAGTTTACACTGCAAAAATGGATCAAAATAGTGAAATTTTCTTCAAGTTCAACTGGCAATTATTTTTTAAGTTATTTTGATAAAATTAGTATGTAAAGAAAATGTAAATGTTTCCTCTTCAAAAAGATAGAAACACTACACCCAACCAACTCCAAGTGCAAACAAATATAAAATTATAAAATATAAAAATTGAAAAAATTTTTTTTCTTACAAAATCTTTAAGGAGCACCCTTCTTTTTCCCTATTTGTTTTGTGATATAAGAAGTGTACATTTTTACTTGCAGGTTTTTGCATAGTTCTGCAAACTATTTTAATATATAGATGGAACAGTCAACATTGACAAATCAAGTCCAACATACACTTAACATGGCCAAGAAAATTTTAGCCACTATAGGAGAAATGATTTAAGAGTCTTTTTAAATTTTTCCCATGATGCTTTTTTATAGCTGATGAACTCATTGCCATTGAAATTACATCACAGGAACTTTAACATCCAGTGACTAACTCTGGTAGCTGTGATGAAAAAGAACCATATCAAGTGATCTTCAGATATAAGATACAAGGCCAATAGGTTGCCATATACTATGATTCCAGTTTCTACAATTGTCATGTCATTGACATTACATCTCCAACCTGTGCAATAATCAAGTTTCTAGCTTCAACTAAGGGTAGAAACTATTATTTCCAATGGCCTTTGGTGGTGACATTGAACAGTCAAGTCAACTTTAGTCTTAAGATGGGACTCACATTTAATGCCAGTTTCAAATGATGGCAGAATCTGGAATGTTTTAGAAATATTGATTATAGAAGCTTATAAAACAAAATTCAGACTGTAAATCACCATTAGGAAAGGAAGTGCAGTAGTGCTGTTCAAACTGCTCAGAAAGTCTTTTTCATCATTTCCAATAAATGTAGTTTTACTCATTTCCATTTATTTATTTTTTTTTTTATTATTTAAAAATTGACCACTGATTCCTTTTATATAACAAGTTTCAAAGTTTTGATGTTGTCAGTCCTTTTTGGGAAAGTAAAAAGATTGCATAAATTTACAAAATTTTCAAAAAAAATCAAATACATTTATGAGAAAGAGTTTTAATATTATCTCTAAGATACTATGAAACATTAAGAAGTTTCAATGACTTAAATCTAGAATTGAAATTTATATGAATGGTCAAAGTTGCCTTCCTGGGTTATTTTTGCACTGTTTTTGGACAGAATGTGACTCCCTCTCCTCAGTTTAGGCCAGTTTTACCTAATAATTATTAATTCCATTAGTATTATCTTTCTTTCATGACTTAATGATATTGTATTTATAATGATTTTTCTCTCATTTGAAGCCTGCATCTTCACATACTGTTAATAGGCATCTGTTCCAATCTCAGACAAACTTTAAATGGTTCTAACTCAACTGCTAATTGAACTAGCAAGATAAATTTGGTACTATTTTTTATATTTTGGCAAGCTTTATATATCAACATGAAAAGCTTTTAGATATATTGAGAATAAAAAAAATAGTTTGGGATACCTAATATTAGTTAATTTAGGAAATAAAGTTTGTCAAATGTTCTATGTATGTATATAAAAAAATGAAGTAGGTATGTGCTTTAAACAATTACACCTTAAATGGTATAATCTATAGGAAAATTTGTTTTATTGATTTCATGACCATGGTCCTTATGTGAATATTAATCAGCATTAAAATAGCTTTACAAAGATATACAACTTGTCCATATTGTGAAATTGACCTCTTAAAAAAAAAAAAAAAAAAAAAAAAAAAATCCCCAGATAAAATTGTAGATCTATCAAAGTACTTTAGGATGATATATGAATGAACTTTGTAGGTCCATAAACAACTGAGATATCATCTTTTAAAGTTGGTCACTATTCACATTTTCGTAAAAAGGTCAGAGGTCCTATCTCAGGAACCCCTGGAGCATGAGATGTGTAACAGGTGCCATTCAATTCCTTTCATGGAGATCTATAAGTGTACCAAATTTGAAAAAAAATCCGTGTCGGACATGGTATTTTCCCCCCCAAAATTTGTTGATTTGACATGGAATGAGCCAAATACTAATTAAACAGAGTTCAAAGCAGAAACATAGTCTTGGAAGGCCCAAAAGTTGCATCAAAATTCATGTTCATGAAAAGGGTCTTTTAGATTTCAAGGTGACTTACTTCAAATTCTTTTCGAACATCATCCTCTGAATATGACTTTGGCACAATGACAAAGAGACGAACCAGCCTTTCTTCTTCACGGGGATCACGTACAGAACCATCTCTCTTTGAACTAGCCACTAAAACCTGAAACAAGCAATCAGCAAGAACAGCTGACACATTAAATGCAAATAAAATCAGTATTAAAAATAAAGCTTATAATCCTTGACAGTGAAACAGATATTTATCTATTCAAATAAGGAATATAAATTGTTTTCTTTTTAAAACATTGACATTCAAAGAGATCAAAAAAAAAAAAAAAAAAAAAAAAAAGACTATTCATGCACAGAATGAAGATAAATACAGTGTGTGGACTAAAAGCTCTTTGGATTTATTAAATAAAAAACACAATTGTTCTTTTATTTTTTTTACATTAGCTTCATAGAATATATTTACCATTTTTTCAAGTAATTTCATAATTCTGTTTTCCTGAAACATTTTATCTTTCTAAGTAAAGAACAACTTTAACTGCCCTTTGCAGTTTTCTAGAACACATAAAGAGTTTTGCATCTTAACACTAATCAGAGCTATGTTTTATAAATATACTGATATTATCAGATCTCATATTTATCTCTTCTGAATGAACAAACAGTTATTGTAAATTTCAAATTTAAGTGAATTATAATTATAAAAGATGCAATGAGTGGAAAATTCCCTGTACAACTGTAACAATTTTTACTTTATTACCAAAGATAATTCCAGCCAAATGTTAACCTTATGAAATATTATGCTCTTTTTTTAAAAAACTAATTTCAGATTCTTTTTATCAATTGTTTTTAAGTGGTTTAATTAAAAGCAGTATTTGTTAAAATCAATTGTTTGAATCTTTGGATAAAATTCATAGTCAAAGGACTCCTTACATCACCATCTCATCAAAATTATCAACTTTGAATAAAGACCAGCCTTTGGCACAATAACGGTGATCTGTTGTCCAACAACCTCTTGCATTCCAATAGTTCATTGCTAATTACAATGTTTTTCAAATGAAATATTTTAATTATGTTTAAGTGAATTGTACATGAAAAGAAGATCCAATATTTTTTTTTATTTTTTTTGCACCAAAAGCAATAATAGAAACTAATGAAAAAAAGTCTAACTATGATGAATTTGTATGGGGGAAAAATACATAAAAATGCCTAACAAAGTAGATGTAATAGATTGCTAAAGCCCAATATGAATGTTTTTACTATGTTGACATGTACATCCTACATTATATGATTATTTTCAAATGATTTTGTTAGATTGCTATCAATCACAACTCATCAATCCAATTCTGAAGCATCATTTTATTTTTATTTTTCAGTAGCATTAACTTTTCTGTATAAAAATTATTCATTATGAACTTTTTTTGAAAATGATTATCATATATGTATACAGCTATTAGAATTATGCATCATTAACTCTTTTTTTCCGTTACTAACACTTGCTTTATTTCCTAACCAATGTATTTTTATTGTAAAATCATTAGCAAAACATTTACATGATACATCTAATAGCCCTTTACTATCAATTATGCTTGCTTTAATTCTTGAACAATGATAATCCCCCTTCCTCCTGATTTTCAATGCATAAAAAGCCTGTAAAGTACTGAATCTAAGAAATTGTTAATTTTAGTGTTTACAAATCAGTTTTTTTCTCATGACACCAGAAATATTTGGTTTGCTAATGCATAAAATTACTAAAGCTAAGTCAAATATGATAGAGCAGAAGTAAAGTGATAATCAGTATAAAAAGCTGAAAAATTTGCCAATGTATACTGGATTCAAATATTGTTTTATTCTTGTTCATCACTAATTTCAAGAGCCACTAAATATCTAATAAGAATGAATGAATGAATGAATGATTCAATATATCTGCTTACAAAATCTTGCTTCTGAAATATCACAGGTTACATAAACAGCCTATAAATAGAATAGTCTGTTTAAATCCATATTTACAAAGTCAAAGATCAAAATTTGCTGTGTATACAAAAGGAAGAAATTTGTTGTTTTTTAGCACAGAATTATTAATCTTCATTACAGAATCTGGCATAGTGATACTGTTTGGCCATGGTAAAGAAGCAGAACACAGTTTACTATGTTTGACAGAAAAGAATTCCCAACAAGATAGATACTAGATTCAATCTACATGTTTAAATGAAGAAAATGCATTGCATTAAAAAAAAAAAAAAAATAAAGAAAAAAATTCTTTGCTATTTGAAATATGGTATTTCAACTTTTGTTCATTGCAAAGCTGCCACCAGCTGTCCAAGAATTATGCTAATCAAAGTCTATTGAAAATATTTCTAAATATTACTGAATTCAAAAGATCGCTATACTACCCTAATCTTACAAGAGCCCACCACAGAATTATTATTTTGCTTTTCAAGACATTACAAACAAGTTTAATTTTCATTGAATGTCTCATGATTGTGACCCAAGGTGGTAATTGTGGACAAAATGAGGGATTTTGTTCAAAGATCATCAAATATAAGTTTAATCAATAATTCTGCAGACAGGAATCTGTAGAAAACATAAAATTGAAAAGTCTCCTTACTTGATCATTTTAGGTGAGAGCTTATAAGAGAAGATTCAGAGAAAAAAGAATGAATCAATTGATAGTGAGGCATCTATTGACTGTTCATCTTAAAAGACAACTGAATGTAGCATATACAAGTCTACTAACATCCAGAACATCAGTTGGAGATCCCATGCAACACTTAACACAATCTATATAGAACTGAGACCAATCTCTCTTAAGCTCAAGCAAAAACAATTACAGTTTATAGGTCACTGTCCCCGAGCAGACAGTGAAGTCATTTCATCCTTACTCCTATGGAATCCTTCTAGAAATGCCTTCTCACGAAAATTGATTTTCCCCAGACACCATAGCCTGGGACTCAGAGTTGGACATTGGGGATCTGGGAACAGCAATATGGAACCAAACAGTGTGGAAAGTGATGTCAATGGAGTTCTGACCAATCATAGGGTGGTTGGAAAATTATGATGATGATGATGATTAGGGGGAAAATTAAAAAAATTGTCACCTACCTTAAGTGGTTTGGGATGTCCTGGTACACACTTGCCATTCATTTCTTCCATTGCCAGAAAGGCAGATGAAGTTTTGCTAAACTTAATATATACAATTCCTATAAGTAAAAGGAGATATGGGAGAAAAAAAAAAAAAAAAAAAAAAAAAAAGAGAGAGAGATACAGCAGATGATAAAAAAAAAATAACAATTCTTGGTCAAAATATTTTACCACTATTTAACATTTTTATTGCAACTTTGTGGATTTTGCCATTAAATCAGTAATTTAACTTACATGGTCTTTTTGACTAGCTCTTTCAGAAACTAGGCCTAAAATGGTTCAAAATCATTTACAACATAAAAAGTAACAGTTAGAAATCTATCCGTATTATTATTGTAGTAGTGTATCCAGTGATTTAAAAAAAAAAAAAAAATGACTGCAATTGTTAGAAAGTCTTCTTAATAGTGAGATGCAATGAACCAAAAATCTTGAAACAATTTAAGATAAAATAAAGCAAAGATAAATAATTCAATTAATCTGTTCCTTTTATATTTTTTTTTTTTAGACATTCCACAGTATCTATGATTCATTGATTACTCCTTGTAGTATATAAATCACTTCTGGCTCAATATCTTTTCATGTTAAAAATTTTGTGTGTTTAATATAACAGTGAAGCTTAAATATCTCAGAAGAAAAAGATTAGCAATAGAATAATAAAGATGGTGATGACAAAGCCTATTTCAGGACCAAGTTGAAAGAAAACGATCACTTAATAGACAAAGGTATCAGAGTGCCTCATATGAAAGGCCTGAAAATGTAAGGCTGCAATCTAAGAAATGTAGAAGGAACTGATTAATTAAATGGTTCGTTTTCCTCAGCAAACTAATTTTGTCTAAATGCAAATAAAAATTTTATTTGCATAAATTATTAAAACAACTAAGCGAAGTAATCACTCATAAACTTACTAACTTATGATTCACTTCCCTTCCCACTACAAATGGGACAGGAAAGATATAAATAAATACACATTGATAATTATTTTATGGTTTGATGATGGATTATCTATTTTATAAACAATCAACAACTAAAGTGAGAATATAAGACCAACACCTAAACCCCATTATGAAAAGCTTTTAAGAATGTATGCATGTAAATATCTATTTTTAATTAAAAACAAGAGTTCAGTTACAATAGCAATTTAATGACGTACTTTCTAACATAGATAATATTTCCAACAAAAGAGTGATGTGTGTAGCCATGGTCAAATGCAAAATATGTAACAGAACTATCCAATAAACAGAATTGACAAAATTAGCAATAACAAGAACAAAAAATAATATAAAGCAAGCAAACAATATAAACAAAGCAACAGTAATATGGCAAAAAGTTCACAAACTACAAATTAGAGTTGACAAGCAAGTGTAGCATTCTGACTTCAAGACAGATTGGGACTGAGTCAGATGAAACCAAGAACCAGCCTATTTTATTAGCTTGAAAAAAATCCCAGCATGCATTTGTGTGCTTCTGCAAAAAAAATTCGGAGGAGAAAGTGTTTTGCAATCATTCCCACTTTGATTGAAACCAACAAGAATATATATAAATATCTATTTTTAATTAAAAACAAGAGTTCAGTTATAATAGCAATTTCATGAGGCACTCTTTCTCATATATGTAGAAGCAGCCATAGTAAATCAAAATGTAGTGAAAGAGTGACTGTTGAAGTGATCATGGCTAGATTCTTTCATTAATTCCTGAAGTTGCTTGTAATGTTTTATAGTTAAAACAATATTTTTATTTCAATATCTGTTTTCTTCTGTTTGTGAAACCTTTAAAAAATTTTTCCTGTACTGTTTTACAAACAATGAGATTTGACTTCTACCAAATACAATGATTAAAGCTTGAATTTTACAAATGCACTACCCCACACATTTCACTCTTTTACACAGGCTTGTCACAGTAAAGGATGAAATAGATCCAAATGGAAAAGTCCAAAAACCTGATAACATGCAACCTTTTTGCAGTATGAAAACACATAAAACACCACAGCTTTTTAAATTCAATTAAAATGTGATAAAAATGCTCAAATCTTTTTATCTCTTATTGCCTCCTCATTACCACCCTGGAGAAGGAGAGCCTATCACTATATAAAACAAAAAGGACCAAGAAAAGCAGGTAGTCAATATCTTGAGATATATTTTCATCAACAAGGGGATCAATGAACATTATCATCAAATATCTAAGAAGAAATAACACCATATGCATCTGATCCGAGAATTTAAATTTCAATCTCATGACTTTTTGTACAACACTTTTTATACTTAAAAGATCTTTATTAAAAAAAGACTTAAAAAGTCCCCTAAATAAACTATTTCAAAATTACAAGGTTTAGATTAAAAGTTATTAGATTTATCATCAACATAGGGGATTTAGACATCACAAAGGTAGCAAACATAAACACAAGAGTCATTGTTGTTGTTATATGTAAAAAAACAGCATAGGCACAATGGAGACAGCATCATGCTATAGCAAATAATAATCTTGTATGAAGTAATATGATACTTTCTCGCAGTAATGCATGTTATCCTGTGGCTAGTTCAACAGGATTGACACTAAAGGTTGTTCAGTTTCTAAAAAAAAAAAAAAAAAAAAAAAAAAAAATACATAAATAAATAAAAAATAAATTTCCGACACCCACACATTGATAAAGACTAAATATTAATATTCAATCACAGAGACAAGCTAAAATTTCATATTTTAATACAAAACTGTTTCATTTCATCAACAGAAGTCGTTCCATGCTATCTGTGAACTGAAAATATACTCAAAATTTCAACATCTGAACATTTATGAAATGCATTTGAAAATCTATATATTAATACACTTTTAAATATGTATGGTGTGTGTTACACTTAATATCACAGATACTGAGAGGGAAACAAAGACACAGGGCCAGAGAGGGACATAGAGCGCAATACAGAAAGTGATTAGAGGAGAGGGTCATCTCAGATGAAGGCATGTGTTTGTAATGAGAGGTTAAATCACGTTGTGATCTAATGATCTGTCAATGATATTTTAGTATTTTTAAGCAAGTTTATGTAACTTCCCTCATAACTATATGGGCATGATTATGGCTTGAAAAGAACAAAGTGCAGCATTAAAAAAAATTAGTAAATCCATATAATTTACCTGGGTTCTCATCATCTTCATTAATCTGGTACAAAAATGCTAAGGTTTAATTTTTTTCTTTATAAGTTGTTACAGTTGTCATTAACTCTTTTCCACTGATCTCTTGACAAATATTTTCAAATAATTCATCCAAAATTGTTCTCCCCACCAAAGGGATCCATGTTTTGTTTATTTTAAATTTTAATACTTGAAATGAAAAACATTTATTAGTATATAATTCAAGTATCATCTAGTACAGAATTTCTATATACTAAACACTAGCTTATCTTAAACCACACAAATTTATTAAACAAGACTCATATTCTAAAACCTTTAAAAATTCATATATTTAAATTACACTAAAAATTTCATTTGTAATGCAATAAATATATTTTAAGTATTTGTAACCAATAAGTCCCAGAATTAGAAAAAACAAAAACATGGAAGCTTGTTATAAAATTCCGAAATCTTAAATCAGTTAAAAATTTGGTCATAATAAATTAACTACTGTATTATGACTATTTTTAATATATACCAGAAGTATACTCAGTAAAGACTGACAGGTGTCATTGTTGGCTAACCAATTTTACTGGATTTAAACTGTACAAAAATACTGCATAACATTTTATGGTCAATAAATCACATGTTGGTGTTCAACAAGGTGGCAAAAAGTGTAGCAAATACTATTAAATAAGCTGCTAGCAATTCTGTCAAAAGTAAAATACATTGCAAGAATTGAACTTTTTGCAAAAAGGAACCAATTAGAATCAATAACCAATCTCATAATGTAATATTATACCAACAGCATAGTGATGACTGTCAGTGAGCAATTGATAGCCGCAGACCTCAAATGGTGGGTGAATTAAGGCAGTTGCATCACTAACTTGTTGCACAAATTAAAAAAAAAAAAACAGTCTTTGGATAAACTGAAAAACAGCTGGGAAATAATATCACTTGTTCAGAGAGAGAGAGAGAGAGAGAGACAATTTTCGCTTACTCAGGAATAAATTTGTAATAAAAGCTGTCATACACAAATATAAGCACTTAGTATTTTGATTCATTAAAATTTTTTATCAAAAAGGTAAAAGCTCTTCAGTATGCACATTATAACCCTGGTTATAAGCTAAAGTTAGGTATATTTTGGAAAAAAAAAAACCCAGCTTCATTAAGTCTATAGAGAAATAAATTGACATATGGTATCAATCACTTATTTTAATGCTAATCAGTGCATGGTAAGCACCACAGATTATCAGACTTTTAAGATATTTTGTGGCGGTAACATTTTCTCAGGTATTCCCTTTTAAAAAAAAAAAAAAAAAAAAATTCTGCTTATGCTGCTTTAGACTTGCTTGCAGAAATTTGACAAAAACTGGAACATGGCTTTTATCATCTTTCCAAGCATTTTACTTGAGGAATGAATTTTTACAAAAACTTCAGCAGATAAATCAATAATAAAGGAGAAAAAAAAATTGAGCCAAAGTCCCAATAACCATGAAATAAAATTGTACCACCTGTATAGAAAACCATCCATCTGCTCATGTCCATAAATTCTGATGTTTTTTTTTTTGTAACATGTTGCTTTTGAATATCAACTGATACACAATTCACAGAATCATCATTTTTAAATACTTATACGTTTCCATATGCGAGAACTCAGTTGAAACAAAATGCCTTTATCAGAAAGGTTACATTTAAAGTTCTTTTTCAGAACTCATCATTTCATAGTAGCATTTGTAATTAGTTATCATCACAATTAAGATAATAAACTTTTAATTATTGAGGTAAAAAATTTAAAAATGGATTTTATTTAAATTTATTTTAACCACTTTTCAATGTAAAGATATGTTTTCGTTTCATAATAAAGTTTTATTATTTAAAATGTTCACAGGAATGGACATGTGTCTGATATAGACAAAGTACATACCTTTTAGCAAATGTTATTACAAACAGTTCACTGCTGTATTGTCTGTAATAAATAAGGAAGTAGATGCATATAGACCATACTTCACTTATCTCTCTGGGAAAAGGGAGTCACTTAGCATGGTCATGTAAATGAGTTGGCATTGAGCTGACCAACTGTGACCTGTTGCAAAATCTCATATTTATTCGTTTTGGGGGAATACCAACAGAAAGGTTATTTTAAATTTACTAAAACCAAGATCAATTTGTAAAAAATCCTTTTTTTTTTTTTTACATGATCCATTTTCTACAACATCCAACAAATTTCTAATCTTTTAGAGTTCATTTTTGACAGCTTTATAATATTATATATATGTTGATTCTCGGTTTTACGTGGCTTTTTAATACAGCTATAAAATCCTTACACACAAGGAATTTTTTTATGGTTACTATGCTACATGATGAATCAGTTTTTAAATAATTTGACAGCAATTTGAGATATTTATAAAGTAAACATTAAACAACTGCTGAGTTGAAGCTAAGCATTTCGTTTATTTTTAATACTTTAAAGTTTAGAAATTAAATAAACGTTTTCAATCATGCATAAAAATATTCAATGGTAGAATGAAAATAATATCGTACATCAAAATTTACGAAAAAGTTACATTTGTTTTTTTTTGTTTTGTTTGATCACGAAAGTAATAAACTATTTCCAAAACAATTACATACACACCCAGAATCAGAGAAAACTCAAATCCTATTTTTCTTGAGTCTACTTTCGGGAAAATTTTCTTATAAAAATCCAGAGATTTCGACTTTCAGGAGCAGAGATGTGACTGTCTCCAAGCCGTTCAAACATACCTAGCTTGTGCTGAAAATAAACATGTGTCGGCGGCTTCAAACAAATCATCTCCAACAACAATCACTCGGACGGTCAGAGAATCTTTGCTGACGATAAGTTTTTCTAAACCAGTTTTTTTTTTTTCCCCCTGTGGACCAACTATTTTTCTCCTGATTTTTTAAAATTCTTTTGATCACATTTATAATGTTTAAATACAAATATTATTTATTTAACAGGAAACATGTTTTCTTTATTTTTATTTCATTATTCGGACATTCGGATTTTTAATATAAAAACCTAGACGACTGACGAATTTCCTACAGGTTTTTCAAAATAATGTGAGAAAATAATAGGGTTTCAAATTCTGGGAAACCCCTAAGAATACCTACTTCCTTGTCACTAAATTTCTATTCATAGTTTTTGACTAACTGATAAAAAGTTTACTTGGTAAAACAACGACTTTGTTTGTTTTTAAGAGAAAATAACTTGAATGAAAACAAATGCTAAGCTAACAACATGCTTTTTAAATGCGTATTTTTCAAGTGTTATCAACGACATATGTATTCGGATATACAAATCCTAAAAAGATATACTGATAATGAAGACTTTACTAATTGTGACCGTTCATAGTAGAAAATAAAATACACACACCTTTTTTTAAAAACTCTAAGAACATAAATAAAAATATATTACGCTTTTTTTTTTTTCAATTTCACGACACTACTCTTCATTCAAAATGGCGGCATCAGTTTTAAATCTCTTAAATAATCTAATTTCTAGTTTTGTATATTAATATGCTGCTTCGTTTAGAAACAGTAATCAACTAAATATAAGCTGACTGCTGTCATGGACTTTATCAAGAGACGAGAATACTTTCTTCATCGGAAACAAAAAGTAAATAGGGTGGAGAAATCCTAAAAGTAATATGAAAACGAATGAATTTTCTCATCCATCGATGTAGCGGAAGAATTTAAGTTTAATAATATTATCTTACACCATTATCAAATTTATCATTAAAACAGAACTAAAAGGGTTTAGAGTTTTCGAAAGTTAAAATAAGCCGGAACAACGGAACATTCTACCTTTTTCAACAAGAAAAGTTCACATTGCCGAAGCCAGACTGAACAAAAACACATACCTTTTTCTTCACTCGTCTGTCGATCTTTAACAATATAAACATCTTGGATAGTACCATATTTCCCGAAGCATTTATGATACTCATCCTCAGATATTCCTTTGCCAGCAATAATAAACAAACGGCTGTTCCTACTAGTATAACGTTGATTAGACATTTCTGTTTCTCGTGTTAAATCTGGAGAAAAAATATAAAACCAAATATAGCAACACCCGTTCTCGGCGAATCTCGTAAAATGACGCGAGACTATATTCGCTCCGGACGCGCAATTGACCTTTGATGTATATTGAAATGAAATGCACTAAGAAACCACATTTAGATTTTTATTTATTCGTTCTGGGGTTGGGATTTTTTTTTTTATGTCATATAGCCAAATGCCGAAACAATCACATCAAACTCAACACTCAGTAATAGACTTTTCGAAGTGTTAAAACAGGAAATTTAATTTATTGTAATTTAAATTTCTTGTATTTTAGAATTTTTAAAATGATTTAAAACTGCAACGAATAATAATTGAATGAATATGGTCACTTTGAAAAAATTATGTTTTTAATTTTAAATTAACATCATTAATTTTTTTGATAAAAAAGAAAACTCAGAGACGCGTCATCCATAGGTTGGCATCCCTGAGAACATTCAACTTGTTTAAAATAAAATTTTATTAATAAGTACTGTTTTTTTTTTTAACTTTTAAATAAATTAAATTATTTTTCAAAGAAGATTATTTTTAATTTTTCTAAATAAAGTGATGAACTTGTAACAATTTTAAAATCCAAACAAGATGAACGACTGGCAAAAAATTGCTTAGGTTAGGTACCACCACGGATATTAAAAAAAAAAAACAAACAAATATAACGTATTTTAAATAATGAGCTAAATTTATTTGAATGATAGCCTAAAAAGCTAATCCGGATTAAAAAGAAAAATTAATTTCTGTGTGTAAAGTTTCTTTAGAATTTTTAAAACATTGGCACGTTTTCTAGTCACTCATCGAACCGCCATTATAGACGAAAAATGTAAACAACAAATTTTAAAATCTCCTAAAAATCTAATATTTGTTTTTTAGAGATATGTTTCGAAGTCATTTAGTAAATTTAAGGATTAATTAACTGTATTTTGTACATGTAATGTTTACTTTTTACTTAAAATAACGTTTTAATGAAAATAACGTTTACGCACGGAACCTCCGAGTTCAAAGGTTAAAAACAAAAATTCTATAACACCGCGGACTTAAAAAGCGCGCGAAAAATTGAAGAAAGACTGAACAGGAAAACCAACAATGCAATAGTCAAAAATTTGTATTTATGTTAAAAAATATATTATCTTTATCCTTATATTACCAATAGTTTAAGAACATTAATTTCTTTTTATTCTATATGCCAAGCAGAATGAATGAATTTATTATTTTATATATTTAGAAGCATTTTTTTTTGTGAAATGATACTTTTGAGTTTACTTCATTGCTTTTATTTTTTTCTTACACATTTCATGCCATAATGACTATTTTAATTCTGAATTTAAGAAAATGTATTAAAATAATGAAGTTGCTACTAACAAAAATATGGACAAAAGTGGTAGTTATTGAATTGATAGTGTTGATTGCGTCCATTTTAAGTTCTTTTTTTGGTAACCAAATGATGTCTTTATTTTTATTTTGCCCATAAAATTATTACGACATTATAATTCTGTATAATAAATTGTTTAAGAATACAATTTTTTATTCTGTATGCTTTAATGAAACTTCTATCATTATTTTTTAATTAAAGTGGTGGATCAATAGGAAATTGACAGTAAGACCATTTTTAAAATGTCTTAAAATCTTATTAAAATGTGCAAAATTATTTCAATTATTCTGAGGTTATTTTATAAAAAAGGAGATAAATTATTTTAAATGTGTTTTTTTAAATATTTTTTTAGCTTAAATTTTGGTGGTACATAGTATATTAATATTTAGAATGTTAATGCTATCTTATTGCAAAAAAATATCCTTGGAAAATTGTTACCGTGTTATTATATCAAATTACTTGTTATTTTAAGGTTCAAAATGACATGAATTTCCCTTTAATTCTTCTCTTGTAATTGTTTTGTAATTGTTTTTGTTCTTTAAATCATTTCACTTCAAGCAAAGCAATAAAGCCACTAAGACACAAGGAGTTACTGAGTGTGAGTGAATATAAGAAAAATAAAACATTATTAAAGAGAGAGTATGACAATCATCATCATTTCACACATATATACATACTTATGTAAATTCAAATTATACAACAAGAAGCATTCATTGGATAGTAAATCAACACTACGATGTAATGTGACAATTTTATAATCGCTATATTTTCATGTAGTCGATTTTGTGCACTTTTGGGAGAATCGGATCCCAGAAGCTTTTCGTCTCCCCAAAGCTCACTCGCTGATTGGTCAACGCCAACCAATCAGATTGTCTGCACATGAAAAGTGATTCTTCCACGCAGCGCTTTCAGAGCCAATGACCACCTATAAGCAAAGAAAATTCTTAGTAAACCAATGAGATCTCAGCTGCCACAGAAATCCACGACAGTTGAAACCATGCGCCAATCTTCTCAATCACACCACCACTCACATGCTGAATATTCCCTATACTCACATAATCTTTTTTCTTACACAGCAAAACTGTTGGAAACATTTATTGCCAGAAACTATTACAACCTTATTGCTTTCAGTGAACTTTGGAACAATTAATAGTTAAAGAGAGACAACTCTTGTTTTACTAAATGCATGCTTTTCTTTCATATCCTTGTTTGTACATCTTGTTAAATACAAATTTTATGTGTAATGATGTGTTTGGCTTATCCTATTTTTCTTCACATCAGTTTAGTTTCCTAATCTAAGTTAAATAAATGTGGTGAAGGCCGCCATAAGAGCAAAATAAAAGAACAGGAATTAAGAAGACAAGATAATGCATTGCATTTAAATTTTCATACATTTTTCAGTGTTACATGCTAACCCTATGTCAAACTAAACTTGACTTTAATAGAGTCACACCAGACCAAAAATAGAGTCAGTCAGTTAAGTTCTATATATGATTTGGACAATAATAACCTCTTTTGATTCATAAGTGACTCAGCAGAAGTTTTCCTGCAGTAGGCTGCCATTTCTTTCTGCAGTAGACTGGTTGCCACCCAAGGCTATAGGATCCAGTCTGTTCTGCTATTTGACCTATAGCTTAATTCTTAACTAATTTTCTTAACTAATGTTCACGTAATAGAGGGCCCAAGAGCCACTCAAGGTCAAGAGTTACTGTGTGGAGTTGTATTAGTGTAAGAAAGGGCAATATAACAGGAAAGTTAGACAGCTAATTTTAGACTTGAAGAAGTCAAAATTTAATTAGTGAATAAAATTCAGAGTTCAGGCAGAGATGTTAGAAGTATAGAGTTGCAGTAGGCTTTAGAAGGGACCAGAAACCCAATCCTAAACAGGAAACAAGGGATGAACCTGTTCAAAAGACTGGGGAGGAGTGTGAACTGAACAATAGGCAAATATATATACTCTTATTCATACATTTCTCAAGGGTATTTGTTATGCTGTGGCGAACAAATTTTTTTTTTCTTCCACCGAATGAATTCGAATCTTCGTCGCCACTTGTTATAGTCCGGTTCCTTGTACCACGATGATAGTCCAAGGTAGAACCAATAAAGAAGAACTCGAACACAGGTATGGAATAACACAGATATATTACAAACAGGAATATATACAGAGAAGTAGAAGTGTTAGTGTGAACAATCAGGTTTAGTAGAGAGAACAATGTAGTCTTGACCAGTATCACTATTCCAATGTCTTGCAGTAATTGTCTGAACGCGACTCTGTTTCGGACTGCCTCTGACTCGACTCTTGACTCGACTTGAACTACTGACTCCACTTGAACTACTGACAATATTCAGTCACCCCCCCCCCACGAGGGTGTCATGTGGCACAAGGCCTTTTTAACGTGGGCATTTCCGAGCCATTAGGCTCGGCCAAAAAATAGCCCATTTGAACCCGTGTATAAACGGGTTCAGGGCGGTTTTACCTCCCGAAGGAGACGCCGCCCCGGGCGTAGCCTCCTTCGGGTTCCTCCCACCCGTAGGAAGAGAGTTAAACCGAACAGTCGGTTCAGACTTGAACTACTGACTCCTTGCCTACTCCTGAGGCGCAGTATTTATTAAGTATGGAATAGTCCATTATTATTATTATTATGGGTAAGATCCCAGAACAGTATTTGCAAGTGAATAGAACACACCCAACTGGAATTTGAACTCAGATCTCTGATTTTTCATTCTGAGCTGGTTCTTTACTGGAGTTACCTGATGTTCTCTTTCCAGCCTTGATAGAGTTCTAAAGGATTTACACAACCTTGTAGGTGATGGATTATTTTCCACCCTACAACCTCTTTCCTGCAGATGAAATGTTGCTAGCATCTCACTACTTTATCTCTTTTTTCATAACAGATATTCAAACAAGCTACATTCTTTTGTCCCACCAATTCAAACCTTCACAACCAGGACCCACCATGTCACATACACAGAGTTGACTCATCCCCATTCCCTTCATATTCATTTAGTGAGGAGGAAGTTCTACTCAAACAGCTTCTTACCCAGAACTGTTACCTTGTGGAATAGACACCTGGAAGGGTGCTTCTCGATCATTACAATCTTAACAAGTTTGGTGTCAAATATTATCTATCCTACATATCCTCATAATATACACATCTAACTTTCTCCTTTTATACCATTACAACCTCAGTCAGTAACCCTCTACCTTGAGTGGATCTTGAGCCTTGTATTGGGTGAACAATAGTATTAAAAATGAAAGTAAATAACTTGTGGACATTAGCACAGAATGTTGGTTTTTTACATTAAAAAATGAATGAACACTGAACAAACGTTGTTTTGAAAGGTTTATTTTCTTTATGTATACAAATTATATCCTTCTTGTGAGACAGTTCAAGGTATGTTGGAATAGAAAGAGAGAGAGACCAGTTCTTTATCCTGATTAGTTTTTGTTAGAGTGGAGTGGACCAACCTGCCTTGCTTTCTGGTAAAAGAGTAGAGAAGACTGAAAATTGAATCCCTATTTTTTCTGGGTTTATATGGAGTTCAGTAAGTGGTTGGGGAGTGAGTGTGTTTGGGCATTTCTTCACTTTTG